AAGTGCATTTGTGTCGTTAATCCGCCTCTGGTTTTAGCAGGGCAAGAACGCATACATGCAGTTATTTTTAACACCATAAAGCCACACAAATACGGACGGAATTTGCATCGAAATTACTAGAGGGCGAATTGATATTTTATTCGCCAGGAAATATTAATATTAGTTTTTGTGAATACGCTCCCGGAGGAAGGAAGGGCTGAGGGAAAAACCAACGACTCCGCAATGGCCGCCAGCGAACGAATCGCTACTGCATTGAATATACGAATTATTTCAACCAGAGAAGCTGAAACCGGAAAGTGATTATTGAGCGCGTGTAGTGTTCTAAAAGAGTACATTTGCAGTCATACTCTTGTGTCTTTTAATGCAGAAAATTGCAGAAACTTCTACACAAATAATATGAATAAATAATATCTGAAATTATTAGTATTTATATATTCTACGTTTTAATTATATAAAATGGCTTTGAGAAAGAGCGGTGGTTCAATGCATAGCAGCGAATCAAGTTTGATGGTGTTTTTGGTATTCGTATCAATCTTACTAAACGTCATTGCCGTTTCATAAGTCATAGCACAGCATATCATACATTAAATATTTTATGTCATCAATATAATACCGATTTCACTTCCTTGCTTCTGTATTTACAGACATAAAATCGTGAACATACTTAATCTGCATTGGTATAATATGAGTTAGACAAATGAACGTCAAATTAGTGAGGCACATGCACCAACCAAAGCCACCTCTCACTAACAGGACAAGAGCGGAAATAGTAACTTTGTGTGAATAAGAGGAAGTGTCGGACCGTGCGAGAACCGCTCCTGACAGAACGAAATTCTCAATAAAAGGACAAATTGTGCGAAGACTTTGTCGGATGAATACGTATCATATATCACATTACATCACGAACATTTGTGATATGACATATACGACGTCTCGTATATCATATTACATAATGAACATTTGCGGTATGATGTTTACGACGTATCATATAAATCATAATAATAAAACGACAATTCTTTCTTTAACGATTCATATAAATCCTACAAACATCATACCGTTTCATGAAAATCAAATGGGAAACACATAATCGTTAGCCACAAAGACCTCAGCACCTCAACCAGACACTTTTCGTCCACAGAACGGAAGACGGCAGCAAATGCATAAACGCGCCAGAACCCTTTTCGTGGGGGAGGGCCAAATTCGGAGAAAAGGGCGGCGGGCCGCACCGCCGGCCACCGAATGTACTTCGCGCGAGCGTGCGCTGACGGGCGATAGCGCCGGCGACTTTTCGAAAAGTTTCCGAACGCCCGTGAGTGGTAGATAGCGACGACGACTGACACGCGATTCTCTCGTGCGGTACCGTACACTGGGCTCCAACGAGCAGTAAACCATCGGAAAAGAAAACAGAATTCGTGGTTATGACGATTCATGAGAATATAAGTCATTTCTAAAAGTTACCTCAACCAACTTGATGACTTCACACGATTTTCGATCACGCGTTTTACAGGAAACATCTTCACCGATCGCAGCATTAGTGAGCAAATATGTTCGTGTGATTAGACCTTACTTAAAAATGGTGTGACACCTTTATTGCTTATTGGAAAACTTAACTACAATATTAAAGAAACTGTTGATTTAAAGCGCAACATTTTAAGCTTACACGCCGCGTCAAAGACGTACGACCGTGAAAATTATAGTTCAACAGAAAACTGTTTAAAACACGCCAGAAACCATCGTTTTTACTCAATTGTAATTCAGTAAATATTGCCATATTTGTACTACTGGTCAAATATTTTAAATGTTACCGTTAGTTTTAAGCCATTGCTGAAGAATAGATTAACATATATTTTATGATTTTCAGATAGATAGTTATACAAATATAATTATAAAATAAATATAATTCTTGCAAGTTATGTATATAAATAATTTTAGATAGAAATAGAATAGCAATAAATAGAAAATTTACAACAGAGACCGAGACAGATTTACCCAGACTCCCGTCAAACCGCACGAAATGAACGCAATTAAACATGGAAATGGTACCATCAGTAATATTTTGCAATTAAAAAAACATATCGTCCATTTGGTTCTCAGGTTAAACACGTGCGAACCGCCTTAATTAAACGCAACTTGGAGTGATGCCCACTGAGCGCACATCGGCGCCGCGCGGAGGCCGCGAGTCGCCCGCGTCCGCGCCCGCGCCGCGACCAGGGATGCGACATCGATGTTGATAGTTTTCGAAACATTGATGTTGTGTAGAAACATCGATGTTTCAAACATCTATCTATCAATTTAGCGGTTTTTAAAGCCTTGGCCGTTTTCCGCATCACAATTTCCAGCTTCTTTATTCCATATATCGTTTTCCTCCATTTCTCTTTTTTCCATGGCTTCATCTATTGCTATGCCCCATGTTCTTCCCCTGTATCTTCTTTGATTTGGTATCCACTCCCATTTTTTGTGGAAGTCTATCCGATTTCAACCTTTTCATATATTCATACTATTTTAGTTGTTTCATTTCGATCGTCTCGTTCAAGGTTGTTTGCACTTTCATTTTATTTCTTATTTCATCATTTCTTATTTTATCTAACAGAGAAAGTTTACATCTTAGCCAGAACATCATTTCTGTTGATTGAAGTTTGTCTTTCAAATTTTTTGTAAGTGTCTAGACTTCTGCCCCATAGAGTGTGGTACTCTGTATGAAGAAGCTAGAAGGATGTTTTAAGCATGGGTGATTTATTAACATCGATGTTTTGTGATAGATGTTTTTCTTCGTTTCCGATGTTTTGTTTTCTGAATGAAAAATCCCCATGAACACAATACTGTAAAAGTGAAAATATGAAATAACTGATATTCACATTGAAAAAACAGTGGCACAAATTTGGAAATTTGGATATCAAAGGAATGCTGGTTGCACTACCTCCAAATTCTCTAACCAGAGATGACCTCCATGCTATTGTAATTCCTCTTCATATTCATTTTGCACATTGGGATACTCGCATAGCCAACAAGTACGCTGTGGGCGTAAGGTCGACATCTTCTTATCATACCCTTATTATTATTAACACGAAAACTGTCAAAATTAAATTTTATTACACACGTATGTAGTGTTAAAATATACTAATCGAGTCTACAAATATCAATGTTGAAAACATTGATGGTTTTTCGTCAGTGTTTTTAAAGTCGATGTTTTAATTTTGAACATTGATGTTTGATAACATGGATGTTTTGTCATCGATGTCACATCACTAGCGCGGAACAGTGGCGGCAGAAGAAGCGGGGATTTGCGAGGCACTTGGACATCGGTATACGGCGCGGCGCTTGCGGTCAAAGGGAAATAAACTGGCGGAGTTTGAACGCGTTTTGATTTGTATAGAAAACAACACCACGTTCAGTCGCGTCACGGCTGTACACTAACTCGAATTACCTAATGCCCTACGTAATTTGAAGAAGCGTATTGTAAATAAAGATTAGGTCGGTCAGATGGCGGAGATCGTTAGGGCAGTAGTACTGATAGTGTCTCGGACCAGAAGACTACGGGTTCGAGTCTCGCCTCGGGCCTGGGTAATTTTGTGTATTTCTATATGTGAGATTTTTTATCCTTCATTATCACTATCATCATCACATCATCCATACTCCCAAAGCTAACAAACTTGGGGGACCAAAATCGGGATTCAGCTAAAATGCTGATTCCCGCCCCCCTCCCCCAACAAAGGTGTTTGCACCTGCTAAACAGGGTTATAATTAAATTTTAAATTTTGTTTTTTTTGCCGTTTAATGTTACAGAAGACTAATAATAATGAAATCTTGACTTAATTTAATATTCATTTAACATTATTTAAATGCATAATGTGTTTTTCAAAGCAGCGGAGAATAAATGAAATATACTCAAATTTAATGTGCTAAATGGTATTTACTTGTATCTTCTTAATATATATTATAAATATTTATCAAATTGTAATTGCAGAACATTAGTGGAAGAACACACCTTCAATTTGTCTCTACTATGGATAAAAAATGTGCTCAAACGTACCGTTTATTTCTCGGATTGAGTGCAAAGGAATTGAAAAGTTCCCGTAAGTAATTTTGTTCCATAAGCATTCAAAAAGAGAAAAAATGAGAGAAAGTAGAAAACATAAAACGTAAAGCGTAACTACAGAGTAGAAAACGGCGAAGACCGGAACTCGATGTTTTAAACGGAACAGAGGTTAATGACTTTGAGTTTCACTTTTCTACTTTGTTTTCACCTCTCTTAGTTATCGCGTATTCACACACTATTGAACATACACTTCGGAGTTTCAGCGGCGTAGTTGCCAAAATAGACAGGTCCATACAAAACCTTTCACTATCGAACTTTTCTGTGAATACATTTTTGATTTTGAGTAACCATTGATGCACAGCATCACGAGATCCACACTTGAATGGCAGTAAGTAAACGAAAAAAAAAGTTAAAAGCAAAAGGTATTGAAATAGTTTCTTTTTTTAAATGTACGTTTCCTGGTTGCGTGTAGGGGAAAGTGAAATATATTTGGGAGAGCGATTTGGGGATTAAATCCGATGTGAAAAACATACTACTTCCTAAAGAAGTAGGACGATAGCATATAGTTTGAACGACATACCTTATCGTAACCACACGAGACGAAGTCAGCAGAACGCCACAAAGCAAACGTGCGCACGAAGTAGGTTACTTGAAGGACAGCAACCGGAAGGAATCGGGGGCCACACGACGCACGGGCGACTCGATAGATCCGCGGCGCGGTGGCGGTGACCGGGCGGCGACTGGCGGGCGGTTCCGAGGACTTCAATTAACGAGAGCGTCACTGTTAGGCGACTTCCAGCAAGTCCTTTCCGCCGAGCTCGTCATTCGTTTAACGACGTCGGCGGCGAGCGGCGGGCGGCGGGCGGCGCGGGGGCGGCGACAGACGGGCGCCGCAAAGCGGGACCACCCGCACTCCAGGAGAAGCGCACGCTCGCCGTTGACGAAGCCCTCGACGGCGGCGTAGGCGGGGGCGGGGGCGGCGGCGGTGAAGGAGGGGACGGCGTCAGCGGCGGCGTTGGCGGGGAGAGCGCCCGAGCGGTGTCTAAAGGCGAGTGACGGACGCCGGCAGCTGCGGGGCGCGGCGGCGCCGCGGGCCGTGGCGAGGGTGGCGAGGACGACGCCTCCGGCAGCCGTCCTCCTCCTCATCCTGCGGCACCATAGCGCATGGTGCGTCGAGGACTCGCCCGCCGACGGTGCGCGCTGGCCGGGTTGAGCGCGCTGGCGACGAGGCCTGATCCCGCACCACGGGGCCCTTCGTGTGGAGCACTTTTTTCGCGGAGTACCTCAAGGGCCGATGTGAGGTCTTCAAAGATGAAGATTTTTATTTATTTTTTTCTGAATTTTTGCCAATTCCGGTGAACAAGCTTGCAAGAATAAGTACCGAAACTCCTTTTGATAAGCCACAATATTTTTCCTTTGAGCTTTACGGAATGGAGAAACTGTGTTTTTCAATTAAAAGTCCCTAATATAAACATTGTTGAACTGCCACGGCATTACTCTAACAGAGACGGATGGGCTGTTGTGATTCAGAAGAGTTATTGCCAGTGAAATATATATATCACTTTGATTATTTGTCAACAATAGTATCTCTCTGGTGGCCACACAAGTTTATACTGACAAATGTTTGTTTAACGCAGGAAATTATGCAGTTCAGCGTAGGAATTAGGAAAGTTATTCTATCGTGCTCGTTTTCATTAATAGTGTTTACAATATTTTCCACTTTCTATTGCGACATTAATACAAGTCTAAAAAGGCGACCTCTTATTCGTCATAAGCACACCACAATTTGTTTGAAGGTTTTGAAATATTTGTAAAGTTTGTTAAACTGAAGTACGTTAGCTCTATTGTACAATGGGAGAAAGTTCACCAACTTTTATAGAGGTGTTCAGCACTAAACTTCCTCCGTTGAGCAACCAGTAGTTAAAAGGTTGACTTTTCGAAAATGCAAAAAGTCAAATAACACTCGCTCACAGTTTCGGGCAGTTGTCCACAGGGAGTGAGATCGACGGCGGAGAAGTCAGGCAGCAACTACGTACTTTTTTTTCGAGAGAGAATGGGTGTAGTAACCGAACTTTCGAGGAAATTCGCAGGAAAAAAAAACAACCAACAACTCGCACTTCTTCACAATAGAGGGGAACCAGCCCACAGCAGAACGTGGTCAGAACAGCGGTCGGTGAGTCGCTGGACTACACGTTGACGGAAGAGCTTCAAAACTTTTCGGAAGGGGGGAGTACGTAAAGAAATTGGGAAGAAATATAAAAAAAATCACTGGAGGAGCGCAGGGGGACGGAGCGGTTCACATCGAGGCGACGCGGGCGGGCGGGCGATCGCGCGAGGGCCGCTTGGATCCCGATGCGCGCGTGGAGTACTGGGCGTCGCGGGCGAGTGCGGGCGGCGTCGCGGCGGCGGCAGGGGACGGCGACGGTGGCGGCGCGGCGCGGTGGCGCGCGGCGGCAACGGAGACCCGGCGTGCACGGCGCCCCGTGGCGTACTGGGGCGAGGCCGGACGGCGGTGGCGGCGGCGGCGGCGGCGGCGCCGGAGGGGGGGGAGCCCCCCGCCACCGCCACCGCGCCACCCCCTTCGCTTGTTTTTGTTAGACGTCGCGTTTCTTTAATTTGTGCGGCGGTCTTTACGTTATGTTGGATACGGTTCGTAGGGTTTCCGACCTGTGGGAAGTATAAGGAATTGTTTATGGGGTTTCAAAACTGTTTTGAGATGATATTGTTTATTTTTGATGCGCCGAGCGATTTAATTCTTCAAGTCTATAGAACATTTGTGAAATATTATATGTCGTCCTGACTGATATAGGAAACTGCAGACGTATTTATTTAATGTAATAAATACTAAAGTTAATTTGTGTGGCTGTCTTTACGTTGTGTTGGATACTGTTCGTAGGCGGTCCGACCTGAGAGAAGTATAAGACATTGTTTATGGAATTTAAAAATAATTTTTTAATTATATTGTTAATTTTCGTTATTTTACATGTGCCGTGTGATGTAATTCTTCAAGTCAATATAACATTTGTAAAATATTATCTGCAGTACTGATCGATATAGTAAAGGCTTTCCGACTTGTGGACAGTATAATAAATTGTTTATGGAATTTAAAAACTCTTTTGCGATGATATTGTTTATTTTTAACGCGCCGTGCGATGTAATTCTTCAAGTCTATATAACGTTCGTGAAATATTGTCTGCAGCACTGTATTTCTTACTGCACAACGAAATAAAATAATTATAGAGTTAAACTAAATGACTGGAATTTGGGAGTTGAAATTCGGTTTTCCACTTTGTAAGGAACATATTGTTGCTTGAATGTCTTGTTGCCTGAATATCCTTGATTTTTGTATTGAAAAAATTGTGTGACTTATTTTATTTGGGCTCAGATAAGTAAAAACGAGCGTATTTACACATTTTTTATTTTTAAAAGTACAGTTATTTATAATACATTGTTTAATCACATTTTTTTTCATAAGAGATGTTAAAGATCTCTAAACTAAATCATATTTAATATAATATTACTGTCTGTTTGAAGTGATTACTCTATAATGTATTTAATGTTGCCTATTGTTCCATTTTCTAAGTATGTTCCATTTTATTTGATTATTTAGGTACACGAGGTGAAAGAGAGAAGCATTTCCATCTGATCTATTTTACACCCCAGATAATGGCAAGTCGCACCCAAAGCAATACGTAAGTAGCCTGCATCTTCATGGCTAGTTTGCATGCGATGTTATTGCTTTTTCTGTTTTACTAGGTAATGTATTGTTCCCTACACAGAAGAGTATTCGAAAGCATGAATTAATCATTTTCCAAACACTCTAAATAGTTGTTTATAGCACCAGTGGTAAAAGTGATATTTTATTTTGCTAATAGTGAAGGTTGGAATACATAGCCGAAGGGCCGAATGAACATATGGAGTAATCCCACGAACTCACGAAAAACACTTTCACCACGTATCGTACATTATTTTTTAGACAGCCTTACTAACATTCACTTTATTTTGGTTCACGTCACTTATTACACATTAATGATACATTATTGTCATTAGAAACTAATGCGGTCAGACGAAAGTATTTAGTTGTATTTGTTGCATTCAGATATTTATACGAACACTTCAGCACCTTCCCACATTTATTACTAATGTTAAAAATTGAACTTTTAGCATCCTATACGTATCTTGAAAGAATCGCTTATTACTAGTGGATGTCAAAGGGCTAATTTTGATACTATTATCAGAGACTGTGCGAAATATACCATAATATCTTAATTTCATTATGTGAATACATATTTTATCGGAAATCTATTTAACTTATTAAGTTCAAATTCGTTATCACTGTGACTCATGCTTTGTAATAGAATATAGAATGATGACCCCTAGTTAAAATTGAAGAAGGAAAGCGCAGGTTATTTCTACTTTGACTGCTTTTCCAAGATCTTTTCCTTAAAGATGTTTCTTTAATGTCAGACTTGGGCAAATTTCATGAATTCTTATAAACAGTTAAGTTTGTTTTAGTAATTCTACCTAAATTTCCTCGCAAAATAACGTGTTGACATGTCAGTGCCTGTACTCAAGTAGTGTCTTGTAATTTTCTGTAATATCATCAGGATACGGATTCTGTTGACGTGCTATCTTTTCATTGGCGCATTCTAGACGTAGCTAATTTGCCAATCAAATATAATCACGATGTATAAGTGATATAGATGTATAGTTATTGTGACTTTTTTGTATTTTTTTACATTTTCAATTTGTAGGTCTTTTTTGGATATTTACGTAATTTTTGTCACTTTTATGAATTTGGTTACCGTTTTGTGTTTTTTGTTAGAGAATATTTCATAAATTGTTATGTCACAGTATAACAAAGTTTTATTGTATCATCAGAAATTCACTACTGCAGTGGACTGTTTATCAAACTCTCAAAATTACTCTGCTCATCCGTAACTCTCTCGACTTTTCGAAACTGATGGCTAAACGATCGCAACTAAACATTAAATTTCCTCCTAAAATAAAGACTTTTTTATGAAGTATAATTTCATATAAATAATTAGTATTTAAAACTCTAAAATTCATTGAATAAATAAACATTTTTATACAACTTTTTAAATATTTTTATAATAATTAGGTAATTTTTCCTAATTTTTAAGTCATTTTATATGTTATATTCCACCAATTCTAAATGACAATGTAGTGGTCATTTTCAAAAAAAATTTAGATCATCAGAATTTGAGCCCTGATTCTCACAATTTACTGTCGTTATACTTTTTCAAAAATGTATGAATTTCTATCATTTAAACACGTAGAGTTTAACGATATAATAAACTTTAACAGAGAGCTTTTGAAAAATGTAATAAATGATTTTCTTAGATAGTATAAGGTCTTAATGCAACTAATTTAGATAAAGTGCATTCTAATTTTTAAAACACCGTGATGAATAATTAAGAAGTTCATTAGGGTTTTCTTGGTTTTCAAAGTTGGCACCTAAGTTAAATAATGATAAAGGAATAGAAGCAAGAGCATTCGCAGACTTTGCTGGAGAATGATGACTTATATTCGACAAACCTAATGATTCACACATTACGGTGAATCCCTTGAGCTCATTATTTTCTTGCAACTTTTGATGAGATGTACCAGTTAAGGATAAACGTTTGAAACATTAATGCTCAAATTTTGAATCACTAATCCGTAATAGTAGTTTATGCAATTAGTTTATAATATTAAATTTTATTGCATGAGTACACGTTTTAAAAACTATTGACGTTAGGAGCAAGTTTTCAAATTTGTACAAATGCAATAGAACAATATTATAAACGTGTTCCATACTCTATTTTTTTTGTTTTGTAATAAAGCATTATAAATTTATAAGACAAATTTATAAAACAACTTTCTTGTGATGTGTCGGGTAATTGACATCTGCGCAAAAAAATGATGGCTGTTCCGCTTACCTCTACATTCCCACAGTTGTCTCGCTGCAATTGACTGAATGTGTGATAATGCAATCATTCGTGCTATAAAATATAATACGTTATCATTTGTGCCGTAAAATACTGAATTATGAACGATTTCTTTCAACAGAAAAGGTTATTTAAAATACTGGCATACAAAAAATGTATTTTGACACTTCTAAACTGACCTTTGCATTGTATACGAATGACCAGTGTACTCCATTTTTCCTGCAAGATTCAAAATGTGAGATGGCAACTTCTTCAACCAACAGTAAATAATGTGTATTAACTCTTTGGTGGAAATTAAATGAAGTAACATGAAAATAGTTTTAATAGCCTTTTGTTTACACAATCGAGAAACTAAATGAAAATAAAAAAGCTCTCACTCCTTAAGTAGGGTTAGGTGTATTGAATAATATTTGCTGAATTACATTCTTTTAACTGTGGATTTTTGCTTGGTGTGTCAATGAACAAAATAGTGTAGTTTCTCCATGCTAAAAGAAAACGTTCTTAATTTTTTTAGAATAATGACATGAAAGAGAGTCTTAAATTCGGACAGAGATCTGATATATCGAATTTTTCTCTAATACTTCTTACGTGATTTATCTTCAAATTGACGTTCGTATACCAAAAATGCCGTATTGTGATATCTTCGACGAGTCCTGAGGCTCGTTATTTATAGCGGTATTCAACATACATAATGGGTAACCGAAGCGTTCTAGGCAGTCAAGCGGTGTATTTTTAATTTGTGGCCCTGGGTCGATCCCAATGTCGCGGGGTGGGCGGAGTTCGATTGCACTGTGACCCATTTAAGGCTGTTACGCGTTCGCTGGCATCGGTCGAAAGCCGCTACTGCCATTGATGCACGCACTAGATGGCAGTCTCATTATCTGTCTTACCTACGGCTCTGGTGTTGAATAATCCATTGCGAACGGAGAGTGATTATTAAAGTGCCACCACGCAATTTCATGATCGCCATTAGAAAATATTACTGATAGCTACATGACAAACAATTTAGTTTCAGTATATTCAAGTTTTTAAAACGAAATTTTCAAAGAGTCAAAATTTATCAGAATTCAAAAATATCAGAGAGATATCAGTATTGAGTATATACTGTATGACTTGAGTATTTAAAGCATTAGTCTCCACATAAAGAAAGCTGAATACATCATGTGTGGATTCACAGTTCTGGTCGACTTTTACATATGGCGTTCTCTAAATACGTTTTTAAGCATCTTTTAATGCAGTGAATATTCACGTAATTCTTAGCAATTAATCATTCATTTTCATCACAATCATTGTAATTATTATTTATATTATATCGATTATATAATATATATTCAGGATTTCACGATCTTACTATTTATATGTGAAGTTATGTAGACAATAACAAAATAATATTCGTGTATTCTTATTAAGAATAACAATACATTAACAATATTACTGTTAAGTGTATAATCGTTAATGTGTAACATTAGTTTTCAAAGGAATGTAAGAAATATATTATTAGTGTAATCCAATATATTGTTTGCGTTTCACACATAAAAAAGTTGCAGTTTATTACCCTTTGCATTTTTTCTGCATTCAATATATTTTTATTGAGCAATTACTTTTGTTCCAGCGTTAAATAATAACTCGATTCGCA